TATTATTGAAATAAAAGGTTGAATTAATTGTTATATTCACATCTTTGATGAAGATCTGCCACCATCATGATTGTTCATAGACTCATATATCCAATTTGAAAATTTATAATATGTATCATCAATAACTTCTTTGTTGATAGTTGACACCTAGAAGTGGTGCATATATTTGAGATGAGTAAAGTGTTAAAATATTCCCCGAGTATTTATATATTGTCATTTTAGTTCCAAAGTTAATAAAAGTGTCGTATTAGTCCAAATACTCTTTAAATTGAGGCAAAAATAGTCTATGTTTAGGAACTAAATTGCCAATTAATTTGATCTCCTACAAAAAAAAGTAGCGACAATTTGAATATTTTTCTCAATTTGAGATGTTAAACTGTCAAAGAATTGTGAAAAAAACCATAAGAAAAATTTCCATCATGACAATTGGAGCTAAACACTTGATGGATAACCGAAGCTAAAAGCTTCATGAAATGGATAAAAGGGTGAGTGGTGGAAGGATAAATTATTTATTAAAGTCTATGTTACTCAAAGCCTCGACTAACTTCACATGTATTACGGTGAATATGACTGTAATTGATATGTCTGTCACCAAATAAATTGCTCTGTAACATATGAGAAGGAACATGTCGTAAAATAAAATCCACTCTATAAAAGCACAAATCTCAATGCATACCTTCAAGGCTTCAAGAATAAAGTTTAGGGCACCAACTGCACTTTGATATCAGGAAATTTATGATCTCATACTCTACTACACGATAAGGCAATCTTGCATGGTAGTCTGATCAAGTATTTGAAGCAAATTTGGATCCTTTGGGGGCATCAATGAGATGATCAAATTATTTTAAAATTTTTCATGATTTTAATCAAATCGAACATTTCAATGAGTTGAATCGAACGAGATTAATATCATCTGTAGGGTACCCAAAACCTAAAAAATATATATTACGATCAAGGGGATCACTCCGAGTAATCTAATCAAATATTTTGGATTTTGGTGATATTTATAAAAATGTTACTCCCAAAATCTATAAATTGACATTCACTCTCTACGTGGGGGGACCTGAAACTATATTGATGGTAGGAAAGAGCTCAAAGCTATATATGATCCATAAACTCTACCAATTGTCTAACAACTTCATCACCGCCATCGAATTGTAGCTATTAAACTATCTTTGTTAGACATTAATTAATCCACCATCATTGGACCACTATCTCTCGAGCATTGCCATGAACCTTCACCGCCATTCGTGAATTATTTGTTTCTAAAAATGTGAATCAATATAACAAAATTAGTCTAAATGCACCCATATTTAGTTTTAACTATTGATGCGTGCTAGAAAATTTGTGGCGGTAGATTAATGAATTATTGTCTTAGCGTTACACAAGAATTCATCACACACTCAAATAAAAAAAATAGCTAGTAGAAATGCCTAAAGTTTTTACATGGAAAACCTGGAAGGAGAAAAACCACGTGGTCTGACCCAACTGAAGAGTTCAATTATAGAAAGATGATTACAATTGCAGCCACTTATCACACAAGCGAGAAATGGTTATTATGTTTCCCAATTTACAACGTCGATGTGCTAATGAATTTGTTACTAGGAACAGACAACGATCGATAGTGATTGACAGTGTCCAATCAGTGGTTGGCAGTGATTAACAGCGTTCAACGAAGCTTGGTGGTGACTGATGGCGTTCTGCGGAGATTTACGATGATAGAGAACAATTTAAAGTAGTCGACAAAGGTCAGTGGTGATCGACAACGGTTGATGGTGGTCGATGGTGGTCGACGATAGTCAGCGGTGGTGATGCTGAACTTTAGCTTCTTCTGAAATCTTCAAGCTCTCCCCCCCTCATGAGAGGGGTGGGTGGGGCTCTATTTATAGAGTTCCAGGTGCAATTAATGCAAAAATATGAATCATTTTGATTGGACAGTCTGGAGAGCTTCTTTTGATCAAATGACATTTGATGGAATTTAAGTGCCTTAACAATGTTGGAATTGGCCATACTTGGGGCTTCTTGGATTCATCTTGTCGAGACGCTTGATTCGACTATAAGCTTGTCAGATTTGATATTCATTTGACCTTCTAAACATGCTTGAAAAGCTTTCAAAAGTAGTTTAATAGCTGATTTGAACTTGATTTAGCTCAAATTGAACTGATTTTGATATCATTGGGTTCGACTTGTGGAGTTGGTCATTTTGACTCTAAGTTTGCTAAAATTTGAGCTATGTGTCACTTTTGATTAATGTTTGAATATTTTTTGCTTAAAAGATTATCTCGATATTTCTGCTAGATGATTGATTTGTTGATGACGAATTAGTTGCCCCTTATAATCAGGTGAGCTCAAAGTCATTATTCCTAAATATTAAAATCCGGACTAATTTAGATTTGTCGTAATATTATCAGTGTAATATTAAAAAGTTGTCTGTTATGCATATACACATATAAATTTTGGTAATACAAATATATATGATTTACTCGTTATATATGTAAAATTTTAAAACTTTTTTATTTTTGTTTTTACATATATATATATAATATATATATATATGAATATGGGGAAAATTTTCTTGCATTTATGGTGGTGATATCTGGAGAACTCCATGTGATCATCAAGAGTACTGTAATTTCAGGAAGGTGATGCCGACTCCAATCGTAGATGAGTTGATTTATTGTAGCCCTTGTATATGAATATGTTAGTCTTTGTAGCTTGTCAATTGCATGATGTGACATGCATGCATGGTAGTGATGTGTCTATCTGCACGTCTTTGACATTGCTTTTGCGATATTTGTGGCTTCTCATTTATGCGTAATTCGGCAATTAAAGTTATCATGAGCACTTTATAAAAAAAGAATTACGTATCTTTTCAAACTTGTGTCTTCTAAGATTTGTATTCTCTTTGGTGTGTATCTTTTGAGGCTTGTGCCTTCTTAGGTTTATGCCTTCTAGGAACTTGAAATGCACCGATATCTTCTGAGGCTCGTAGCATTCTGAGGTATGTGATGCACCTATGTCTCTTAGTGCTTGTGGCCTTTTGAGTTCTTTGATGTACCCATGTCTTCAGATACTTATAGCATTCTGATGTCTTTGATGTACATTTGCCTTCTGAGGCTTGTAATCTTCTAAGATTTTTGATGTATGTGTGTCTTCTAAAGCTTGTAGCCTTCTGAGTTCTTTAAGTGGTGACCCTATCAACCACTTATTCTCGTGAAGTTTTTATAGTGAGGATCATGTCCACTACTAGCTTTCCATCGAGACTTGACTCTTATGTTTGTCTTCCAAGGGCATGGTAGCTTCTCATTTATTCTTGTTTCTTGGGCTTAACATCCAAGAGTACCGTATCTTCCCATCAAGCCTTGCCTCTTGGGCTCAACTTCCAGGGGCAAGGTAGCTTCTCATTGTGACTTGTCTATTGAGCATGACTTTCAGGAGTACCGTATCTTCTCATCGAATCTTGTCTGTTAAGCTCGACTTCTAGGGGCATGGTGCTTCTCCTTGAGTCTTGTCTCTTGGGCATGAGTTCCAGGAGCATCGTATCTTCCCCTTGACTCTTGTCTATTTATGTTGGATTAATTTTGGACTACAATATAATTAATAAATGTGTTGGGTCATCATTAAATAAATCAAAATTATTTTGGTCTAATTTAGAATTAAGTTTATGACTTTGGGCACATTTGTCATGATATTATAGTGTGGATACCATAAGTGCAAATTCTAATTTGATGAGGGGCAGAATTAGAATTAAGCAAAACTTTTTTGTAACCGCCTGGTAGTTACTTCAAAGGGTGATGGTCCCCAATTTGCAGAGAGACACATCCCTTTTCTTGCACTCCATCAACAAGAAATTAAGGAAAATCTGGAAAATTTGCAGATTGGAAGATCATATCTTGTGCAATCGATCTAATGGATTCTGGTACGCTTCTGCTAATCTATGGCTTATTTCTCTCAAAATAGAATGTGATTTTTTTAGTTCTAACAATTGGTATCAGAGCAGGTTCACGTTCAGTTTTTCTTGAGAAATTTTTTTTTCTTTTCGATTTTTTGGTCCTTAGCCATTGTTGTTCACCGATTATGAAGTCATAAATTTGTGATTAATGATGGCTTGTATATATTATTTGGTTTGTTGGTTTTTTGATCTGTTTGGTATATCAAATTTGTCGGAATCATTTTTTTTGTTGTATAAATAAGGGTTAGAAATCATCTAGAAATTAGATTTCTAACAATTTTGGGGTTTGAAGACTTCATTTTGGTGTAAAAATGACTTTGAAACCGTTGGGTTCTGATTTGGATTCGAACTGGGTCGTTTGACCCGTTTGGAGGTTGAAGACAACCAGAAACGACATGTCGTTTCTACGGCGTAAGCAAACAACATGTAGTTTTCTGTATTAAAAAAAAATTTATTAAATGTTCAATTAAATTCAAATTATTGGTACTTTATAAATTTTTTCATCATTTTTTAATGATCTAATTGAAACATGATGTTGCCAAAGTGACCTCTCTTGTGTAAATAGTTCGTGACGAATGTTGGATGTTGTGTGTGTGTGAGTTTATGCGTGTATTGATCGGCCCAAAGGAAAATTAATATTTGGCCGAACTACATACACACTTGTGATGGTAAACATGTAACAATTATAAGGAATTATATGTGAGTAATAAATCGATCCAAAGATAGATTTATTATTTGACATGCATTATTGTTAATGTTTGATCATTACAACAAGATTACCACTTGCAGTTAATATTACTGTCCAACGACTTGATATTAATGTTGCATTAGGTGTCTTGAGATGGGATTTACCATTATTTGAATTCATTAACATTGTTGGTATTATTTTTTTTATTTATTATTTATTTTATGAACATGTTATTTATGTAATCATTTTGTTCATTTTTCACTTGTTGCTACTGTATCTGCTAATCTCAATTTGGTTCCAATCCTTAAGGGTGACAGCTTTAAGGATTGGAAAAAGAACATTCACATTGTTCTTGGCTGCATGGATTTAGACCTTGCGTTAAGAATGGAAAACCCCGCTCCTCTTACGGATGCTAGTTCCTCCGAGGATAGGAGGATCTATGAGAAGTGGGATCGTTCTAATCGCTTGAGTCTTATGATCATCAAGCGCGGCATACCTGAGGCTTTTAGAGGTGCGGTGTCTAGTGAGATCACTGATGCTGCAAGTTTCCTTGCTGAAATAGAGAAACGCTTTGCAAAAAGCGATAAGACTGAAACTGGTATTCTTTTAAAGAAACTGATTTCAATGAGGTTCAGAGGCAAGAAAAGTATAAGAGAGTACATCGTTGAGATGTCTAACATTGCTTCAAAGCTGAAGTTGCTAAAGCTCGAGTTGCCGGATGATTTACTCGTGCATTTAGTTCTTAGTTCTCATCCTCCACAGTTTGGCCAATTCTTGGTCAGCTATAATATGCAAAAGGAGAAATGGACTCTTAATGAGCTTATTTCACATTGT